GGGAAAGAGGGCGACGACTCTTTTTCCGTTCACCGTCGCTATTTCAAACTTCGACGGAAACGTAAGAATTTATAACTGGCGACACCTTATGGGCTCCCTAGACCATTGGAATTTACACTCGCTTTCGGAGCTCATTGAACGTTTCGAAAGTGTGGAATATGAGATCGGGGAGTTATCGCTTCGTACAACACGTAACACTCAACGTTGAGTACGGTAACTCTTAGCGCGACGCATAATACTCAGATATTATAAATTATTTAAAACCATTCTGCGAATATTCGTGGAATAAGCGTGAAATTTCGTCAGGGCCTAGAAATACAATTGAAGATGGAATCAAGACAAGGGCTGTACAAAGCAAGGACTCCGTACACTATAAAGGAATCCCCCCGTCAACCATTAATAACCATTAAATCATAACGATGATAAATATTCCGCGAATGCGTAAATCGTTGTCGGAAGGATCAAAGGAAGTTTTGTACCTATCAGATTCAAGGGTCTCGGGGTTTTCGCGGGTCTGCACTTTTACGACGCGTTTTCGTCCTCTCGTTAAACTTCAAAGCCGTACCACTCACGTTTTATTATTGGTGACCGCGCGAGCAACCCCATCGTGTTCCAAAGTGTCGTAATTTCAGCGGTAATGTCGGTCGTTTCTTAAGGAATCGTATCACTTGAGTTTTCCCACTGCGTCCTTGGAAGCCTGAATGTTTGCAAAACGCACAGAAACGTACAGTATATCCAGCAACAATATTCAATTAATTCTGTCATTTTTCAGGTAGACTAACTCTAACTTAAACAACTCGTTCTACATTCTTCTCTCGTTTAAATTTATGAAAATACGGGTGACACGTAACCTTGACTAACTCGTAAACTCGACTTCCCCGAGGGGAAAAAGTGATGTAAAAGTCTTTCTACGACTTGGTCTTGGAGTTACTGAAATTTATGCCAAATTAACATTTGGTTTAATATTTATTTCAGTATTTGAAATAAGTTTAGCAACCAGTAGGAGGCTCTTACCCCTACATTGCTTTTTCCCCTAGAGGAAGCCGAGTTTGCTCGTCAGTGTATATTGCAAAGAGGGCTGGATTATTTACATATCGTTACAACATTTTGGGTAATATTAGTATCGAAGTATAATTTATAACAAGATCAACAGCCTCTATTAACCAAACGCAAACAGGCTGCCTCCGAAAGTTACGTACAATTCGGCATGAGGTGTCTATTCTACAAGAAAAAATATGTTCAAAATATACAATAACATTATTTCATTTGTAACTTCGTTTTCGAGAAAATTGATTTTGAACATTAATCTGAAACGCGTGTATTCGCCATGGTAATAAGTAGAAAATGAATGCATTCAACAGATTTTCAAATTTGATTTTCACGAAAACGAAACCTCAAATAAATAAATATTATTCCACATTTTTTTCTTACCTTATCGTGAGGAATCGCTTCATGTCAACTTGTACATAAGTTTCGGATGAACTCTGTACATTTTCGACGACTTATGACTTAACACTAGAACTACCAACGATAAACGCATATCTTTTTCGATCGATCGATAAATATGGCAAACTTTTGAAAATTTACAAATTTATAAATTAACTATTTTTTTTAATGTCGTATCGTAATAAAGGTTACAAACGATCTGAGAGTGTATTGACAAGTCATTTTGACTTGCACGGTAGTTCTACTGTTAAAAAACGAAATAATCTGTGTCTGACCATGTACGGAATTTTTCACTGTGGAAGTCAACGCGTTAGACATTCCTTAAGACTTCTTCCTTCCGTTTCTTCCCGCCTCGCCGATTCAAACGATCATCCGCAAGCTTCCAACCAAGAGTTATCTGTATCCATTCGAGCGTATCTCCCGCGCAATCGACCGCGCCTTTTTCAACCTGTGCGAGGACATAAACGCTATCGATTCGAGGAATCGCGGGCAGTGGGAAATGGAACCAGTCGCGATACCAGGCGAAGCATTACGTTCTCACGTTCCAATTTCAAGCCTAATGGAGTACCTAAGACGTCGCAGGCTTAATGGAGGCGTTCCCGCGTTACTTTTTGCTCCACTCGGTCTCTCTCGCTATTGTCTCGCGCGATAGGGGAGCCGAGAACACGTTAGCATTTTCCCTGGTCGTTGTAACACGAATTGCAGGGAAAAGAGTGCTGGAATCGACGCTCATTGGTTCGAGGATTCACACGAACCTCGATAAACGGGAGACGACTCCGATAGATTGCTCGAGAAACTAGTCCAGCGTGTGAAGCTTAATCAGCCGTGAATAACTTAGACTTTAACAGCCTCGCGACTCGACAGTGACACACAGGGGATTCTCGAGAAACTGCAACGCTATTTAATGAGGGTGAAACTAGTTCGATCGTTTTTTTTTTTTTTGATCAACTTTGAAAAGGAGGAGGTATGCAATTCAAAGTGTATGTACGGTAAATCATCGATGAGTGCTCGTAGGCTCCATATTCTTACTGTAAGCAATTAATATTTACGCTTTTATTTTCTCAAAAAAATGTAATATTAAAATTGTAAGTGGGTCCTCCTTTGGCCAAATAGTATTGTTCCCTAGACGAAAAAATAGGAAATACAGCAACAAACCGCCCACGCAATCTGGAAACTGTGTTATTTTTTGTTAGTCGATCGAAAGGGTTCAAAGCGAATTTCATTGAATATCGACGGTATTCCGATTTTGCTTTTCGTCGGGGCCAAATGTGACGCGGTTATCGAGCATCCCTATTCAATATCCAAAAGCCAATTTACATCCGATGAAGCCAACTTAGTTCCTGATGGAACGTTGATACCCGAGCGATTCCGACCGCGTGAATATCGTTAATTAACGAAAATACTCGCAATTCATTCCCACGGTTTACGACGAACGTCACAGTCACGATATCGCGACGATTGCTGTCGATGCTTTGAAAAGATCGACAACTTGCATTATTTTAACCGCATAGAATAAGATACAATGACACAAATTTATTCACGAAAGGCTGTCACATTTACTTCACCAGATTACGTACCAAATTAATAATCGTATTTCCAAATCAGGACAATTTTATCACAAAAGCACGATCAAAGTAATGATCACGAGGATACCTAGATAGAAATTGCATAAAATCTCTATTTTACCAAATTATCTACCAAGATGCGACTTTCGTTTCAAAATTAAAAAAAAAATTGAATATAAAAGGATGATCAAAGCTATGATAAGCACAATATATAAATAGAAATTGCATAAAACTTCCGACACCTAATTGTTATTTCAGAGTTCTGTGGACAAATATGCGAGTCGCTATAATTGCAATTTGGGAAGTATATGAACGAACACCTGAGTCACTATCGCCATTATAATTTCAATGTCCTATTTCAAACTGGTCAAGAATCTACTCACCGCAAAAAAAAACCTATTTCCCCGTGAATATAAAAATCTCCACATGAATCTTGCATATCCGAAGGGAAGAAGCAGAAGCCACGAAAGGACACATGTTTTAGATTTCGTCTGTCCAAAGAGCGGCACAAGATGTTTCCCAACACCCCCTCGGTCGAAACAGCTGACGAGGCGTCGTCAAGGGGGAAGCCGAGTCAGGATTACGGTGAAACGTTGTACGGAAACAGGACGAGAGGGTGGAAAAATGGCAGGGGTGGCGAGAGGTCTATCGGATTACCGTGGAAAGTTTGATAATTACACGGTAAGCGGTGAACGTTGAAAGGGGTGGGGGAATTGAGAGGAACAAGGGATGGCGAGCTGTCGTGGTGACGAAAGCGACTTGTCCCGTGAAACGAAGGTTCCACGAGGAACAGAGACAGAGCAAGCTGAGATAGAAAGGGTGACTGAAGCTTGGAAAGACATAATTAGCAAGTTTAACACCGGCCTTTCGAACTTCGTTATCGTCCCTGTCGCTTTCCGTTCGAATGCCGCGGGACCAGGTCACGAAAAAGGAAAAACATTCTGGAAGAAGGGAACGGTGTTAATTTCACGCGAGGGGTGACGACGTTGGTGAGACATCTAGGGCGCGATTCTAGTGAATAAATATTGACGGAACCCAGGGCGACCCTCTCTGTTGCCGGAAGTCTGTTCGACGTGGTGGATGTTCGGTGTGGATATCGGGAGGGTGGTGTGGGATTTCGGTGAAGGACAACTCTAGAGAAGGGAAGTGTGTCTGGGTTAGAGGAACGATGATTCAGCTGAGGATGACGGGGTAAAGAGGATTGATTCTGTAGGTGAAAGAACGTGGAATTTGTCGAGTGTACCTTATGAAAGTTGTACGAGGTATTTTCTAGAGGGACGTCATTAGACTCAACAGAGGATGATGATGGAATTGCTTGAGGTAGTTGCCCAAAACGCATCATCCACAGGAAAAATCCCCCGACCGAAAGTATGGATATTACATTCAAAAAGTAAACTCCTAAATGCAATTTAAATATCTGCATCGATGATGGCAGATCCAAAATGAATGTTTCGCAGGAACCCTAATAGAGCTCGTAGAGAAAGCGTATGTGTATTGTCTCCTACCTTGGTGAAGGTGAGAGTAGCTATCGGCGGCAGTCGAGGCAGATTCGGATAATAGAAGCTTCCTGCTGGATGCGCCGGGTATCTGGATGTGATCCGGTAGGCGATTCCTTGTGGCTGGGTCGGCCAGTTGGCAGCCGTGAATGTGAACCCGTTATCCGTTCCACCGTCCAGTGGGTCCAGCTGAGAGTAAAAACCAGAGAATACGAAACCGTGGATTGCTCTCGGGCGATCCACTGAGCATTTCAATGGCCAGTGGTTTTTAATGAGATGGGTAAGGTTCCACCGTTTCGTTCCAGATGCAGTGTCCGTATATCGTAAATGGGACGCGACCTATATACCTTCTCGATCGACGGTTTTCAAACGCGACCCCGCCTCTGTTTTCAACCCTTTCGCGGCCGAAACTACGGTCCCACTCTAATGAACGAGGGAGAGATCCACCCAGTTTCTCGATGATAAAAAAAAAAATGTTTTCACCCCCGTCCTACTCTCCTCGGCCAAAAAGGTCTTCGTGGGGATATTCTAGGTGGAACGAACGAGTTTTTGCTATGTACAACGCCGGAGAGTTTTAAAGGGTCGGTCTCGGCTACGGGCGGTTGGTATCGATCATACACCCCTCCAATCCGTCCCCTTTTCCAAAGGGATGTTTCGCCATAATTACCTCGACAGTGACCGTGTCCACCCAGTTCCCCTCGACGCAGAGCTGGAAGGAATCGAGACCCACGAACCAGTCCGGGCTGGGGTTGATACGGGACATGATGCTGATCAGGGTGTGATTGCCGTCCAAAAACGCTCTCGCGATACTGGTTCCCTCCCCTTGGGGCACTGGAGGCCCAGCGAACGAGTGCAGGCTGTTGGGGGAATCGCCGTCGGCGTCCAAGCCATCGGTCCTTCCGGTCTCCACGTATAATCTAGCCCCGCTGGACAGCCTCTCGCCCAACCTGTACAGGGTGTAGGTGGAGTCGTGTGTCCGGCCTGAAACGTAACGAGCAAACTGATTAGATAAATTGATCGAATTTCAACTGTTTGTATATTTGTCTTTTAGAGTAGTCCTCTATTAGGATAATCCTTTGTTACAGTAGTCCCCTATTAGAGTTATCCTCTCTTAGAGTTGTCCTCTATTACAGTAATCCTCTATTAAAATAGTCCTCCCTTAAAGTAGCCCTTTCTTAGAATATTCCTATCTCAGAGTATTCCTCTCTTAAGGTGCGTATGCATTTGTTACGTATCTCAGTATCGTACCACCATACGAAGCGTTCCAGATATTATCTGAACGACCTGGAGCGTACGGCGATCGATATTGAAAAGTCATAGAGGCCATTAACATAGATTATCATCAAACACATCGAACCGGAATGTACGAGAATCGCATTATCGAAAAACGACGTTATTTTACCGTCGATCCAACAGCGATGATTAAGCCCCCCACCGCTCCGAACAATATCGCGATTATGCGAGCGGGGCTTGATCAGCACGAAAATTAATTAACGAACGACGAGCTCCCGGTATTCCAGCAGCCATCTGCATCGTTAATATGGTGAAGGGGAAGCGGTAAATTGGACGTGATCCGTGGCCACCAATCGTAAATACGACGATACTGGAGAACTCTCTTTTTTTCGAAATATATATATATATATATATATATATATATATATATATATACACGTTGGCAGTGGGGATGCGACCACCATCGAGAATCAGGCCGAACGGTTATAGGGATCGTTAGCTGGCCGCACTTCTGACGAGATAGCGGAATTTACGGTGGACAGGGAATTTGTAGTCGATGAATGCAACACTCGGGGGAGCCGTTGCTCGGTGTATCTGAAACCCAGCCCTAGATAGACCTTCCTGGTGCATTTCGAATTTTCGCCACACGATCGTTCTCGTTGCACTTATCCTGCCAACTGAGTGGAAATCGAGGAACTTTGAAATCTTGAAAATTATTGGGTTCAGACGCGAACAAGTACGTTTATATGGAAATTATACCATTTACTATATTTAATTCTTCCCACCTAGATGCAAATAATAACATATGATTTCAAGCAATAAAAGAATCTAGAATTAAACAAGAAAATGATTCACGTGGCACGGAGGAAGTAAAGATTCAAGATGCTTCTGATATCCACTCATATAATTTTAAGCTTCGATGTTAACACGTTGAGCGCCATGTCAGCCATCGGTGGCTGACATTAGACTTTCCGTTTAGGCCGCGTCACCCATCGGTGGCTGACAGCGTGTAACATGAGAACTATAAAATTTTACACTATTTTACGGAATTACAGAAAATTTATTTAAAATTTACTTAATTTGGTATCATTACAGGATTAATGGGATTCATTGTAACATGGCAAACATAAAAATGGTTTTCCTTCACAAGTATTACAAAATGTTACAACACGCTTGGTCTTTCTCCTTGCCATCACTCTATCATCTTTTCTTACATTTTTGTCATAACATAATTTACAGTACTTTCGAATACTTCGATACCAGCGCTTCAATCGAAGCGGCGCGCGTGGCCTGAACGGGATTGTCTTAGAAATACGCGTGGCGCTCAACGTGTTAATTGAATGAAACGAGCCCGACAAGTTCTAATTTAATAAGACTGTACTTCGTTCCTTATTTCTATAATCCTCTTCGGTAGGGATTTTGCTACTTCGTTAAAAGGGATCGAACAGTAGATCAATTTAAAATGCTCGTAGTTTTAATCGTACTTGGTCTCTGCGATGGCATGGGATTTTATGGATTCCAGTCCCTCGGTCCTGCTTTATCCCTCAAAGGATTCATCTTCCGAGCAATTTGCAATTTCCGAGCAGAAGTATTAATTCTGTCATTAGTGATCTCCATACATACACTTTCATCACCACATCTAGAATTCCAAAGAAGTTCAACAAGTATCACATTATCCCTCCCACCTTCCCCCACTCTCAACGTCAACCCTCAAAATCGGTTAATAACGAACACAGGTAACGCATCCATAACATTAATATTCTGCCATCGCGATCGAGCCACCACATATGATCAACCCAGCTGCATTAATATATTCACGAAACGAAACACTGGTCGACCCCGTCTGTCCCGTGAAAAATTACGACCTCGAGTCAACTGTTTTCCGCTTCGAAACGACACCGTCCTCGCTGTACACAGGTGTGCCCATCGACCGATCCAGGGATTCTCGTTTCCTCGCCCCGTAATTTTCCACTCGTCCGAATCCCTCGATCTACTCCCTGGAAAACACGCCCCGTCCAAACAACGAACGCTGTGTGGCGACGAGATGAACGTGATCCTCGCTACTGGGGTGCCATTTTCTAACCGAATCCCTATCGTTCTCTCTTGCCGTGGCGCTCCGAGTGTTCCACTTTGAGAGACGCTGCCACGCGAAACCTATTAAGGCTCGTAGACACACGTATAATCGACGACGTAAACGTTATTCAAATGGAGGCCGCCGGTGTACACCAGCAGGCATTGCGATTCAGGATCACAGGCGGGCATTAAAATTCATGAGCGTCGCCGCGCCCCCGTGTAATTTCGTTTTTACGTGCTCGCACGCATTAATACGGTTCCGACGCGACACCTTGGATCCGAACGTCTCTGGCTCCCTCCCCACCCACGAGACAGGTAACCCCCTTTCCCCAAATGGGAGTCGTCAGAGGGTGCCAAGCGGTCGGTAACGTCGAAACTTTGGAAGCGTTTTCAATTTGTCGTGTTGCCGGACGGAACGTCACAGACTGCGGTTTCTACGTCTGGTCCATGGCTTCGAGCAGGCATGAAATTCGCTTTTCGAATGATTTTCTGTTCCCCCCACCACCTTACACGGTCGGCCTGTCGCAGGGTAACACGCGTTGCTGCTCGTAATCCTATCGAGTTCTGGGGAGAGACCTTAATTAGCTGTGAAATTAGCGAAAACCGCGATGGGGAACCCGTTGTGGGTGAAAAGGGTTCGACAGGGTGGTAGAGATTGTTTGAATCGGGGGATCGACTGTGAAAATGGGTTAAATCGAAAATTATCTGCTGTAAGTTAAGAAGAGAATGATCTGTGAGATGAATGTATTATTATATTGACTTTCCTGTACAGTATAGACTCCATGAGAGTTCGATCGGAAGTCCCTCGTGAGAGTTTCTACTTCGGCTACACCATTGGAAGGGGCGTGGAACCTGCCAATCGTATACTTTATTGCCGTGCTGCTTTTGTTAAAGGAATAAATTTGTGAAGTGTTAAATTCGTGATGGACCGTGAAAGTTTTTGAGTGTTCTCGAGTTTTAAAACTCTCATGGGACCTTTACTGTATTTTGTATATCGTTGCAATGGATTGTTTTTCATTCTTCAGTTGAAGATCAATGGTGATTGGGGTCTTTGAATTGCATCAGATGAGAGTGTCTGTATTGAGAGAATAAAGATCACTGGACTGCGGTTCTTGATGAGAATCTCTCGCCAGAATGAAAATAGAATTGAAGTTTCATTGAACTACAATATACGTACAGTGCATAAATATTACAGATTCCGAATGTTTCACGAGAGCAGAGATCACTGTTCCATCGGTATTTCATGAGTAATTGTTTTATTCCGATTTATGTGGCACACTGGTACACTCGACAATCTCGACAGAACCGGTTAATGGACGTTATTAGAGAGGCGCGAGTATTTTTATTTGAATATTCATCGATCGAGTTGTTTATTTCGACGATAACGTATGCGCAGGGGTGGGGGGTGGGTGACGGATAAATCGATCGGTCGGCCACGATTTAAATTCCGGCTGGACTGGGCCTTTTTATTTTTTTTTTTTTTTTTTTTTTTTATCGACGAGATGGCTGTTCGTTAGTGACGTATCCCGTTTCCGTGCATGTCGCTGAATTTTATTACGTCGCTAGAAAGAACAGATACTACCGCCCCCGTTTATTCCACAGTTCATAAATTTCAGATTATTTCCCGCGCTTGCACAGCGTCCCCTGCACCCTGCCTCGTCCATTTCCTCTTCGCTGTTCATTGTACGCCGCCACTCTCGCCTCGATGCAAAACGATTACGCGGTTTGCTTTATTCCGTGCTTGTTGTTTTTAAATGTTCGACCCCCCCCCCCGAGTTCTTCGTTGAGATGAGGAATAAAGCGAAATATCATTCATTTTCCCGACGAGAGAACAGCTCGAATTGTTCCGTTAATTAGATTACTTGACATCGCGTTCCTTCGAACCCACCGAAGGCCACTTTCGCCCTCTTGTTCTTCCACCTCTGTTTCCACGTTCCGCGGTGAACATAATTTTCCTACGGTTAAATTATCTTCCCCTCTCGAGAAGTTATTCCTCACCTGAATCGGTGATTCCATCGTGGCTTAACACTTCGACTGCCACGTTACTCAAATGTGGGAAAGCGCGTACATTGCAAAGAGGCTGGATTATTTAACACTAGAACTACCGAGCCCTTTAAAATGATGGAATTCAGAATTGTTATTTTAAAATTACTGAATTCATAAAAGTGTTCATCGATATTCATGACTACCTTTAATTTATCATATATTTTATATTATATTATATTATGCTTAACCGTATTATATAGTATAAATATTAATATATTATGCAATTTAGTTTATTATACATTCAACGCTGGTAGTTCTGGTGTTAAATACAGATACACAATTGTTGCGTAAAATTGATATCGCAGTGTAATTTGAAACAAGATCAACAGCCCATTTTAGTTTGGTACGTAATCTAAAAGCAATCCTACCTAGATAATGTAAAACCATTCTCTGGACAACCGTGTATAACACAACTTTAAATAAAAATTAAAAAGAAGTGTCTATTACAATTTCCCTGACTGTCATTGATTCCACGATTACAATTCACTGCCAGAAATGAAGAGTTTCTCAATAGATTCCCGGCGATTAATCTTCAGTTTCAAACAGCTTACTAATTAACCCCTACAAGTCAAGCATTAACACGATCCCCTGGTTCCAAGCTCTTTCCGCCCAAGAATTCGTGTTCGAAGAAACGGTGTTGGGTTCGATAGGTTTCGATCTGGCCGCTTTTCCGTTCTAAATCCATCAGACGCGGGATCAAGCGTGCCAAGAACAAAGCTGCTTTCACACCGTTGGCCTGCAGGAATTCCGTTACCCCTTTTCTCCCTTCTGGATCCGGCCCGAACAATGCGCGTACCCGACAATACGGGACCTTTTTAATTAGTAGCGACGGACGTGTGCCAGGAATCGAACCCGGGCGGTCTTTCGTTTCCACTCGAGGGTCCGATATCGAGTGCACGGAACACAACGGGGACTGGCCCTGACAAATCGTCCGTGGAGACTTTCGGCATAGGGGGTGTTCGGGAGGCAGAACCATTTGTCTCCGACCGAATCGTTCGTGTGTGCCAATGGCTGCTTCGACGATTATGCATTCTGCTCCCGCGCCACGCCAAGAAATTTATATCTTCGACAACGGAATTAGCGGTATCTGCGGCGTACACGGGCCATTGAGCTCCGCCTGACGACCTCTGAGATATACGAGAATATTCTCCCTTTGGACGATGGAAATGTCGGTCAGGTCGTCGGAAGGAGGTTGATCCTTCGAATTTTAACGGTTTCGTATCCGCTGGGAGTTGGTTGAATCACTTCAGAACGAATGAATAAGAGTTTCTTTATTTACTGTAGACTCGCGATAATTGCCTGCGTTTGGGGATTTAGAGGTGAGCTGTTCTAGGAACGGGTAATTATCGAGAGGCAATAGGATGTCATCCGACCAATTAGTAGCTACAGAAGGCGACAGAGAATGAGGTGCGTGCTTCTGTAGTAGTGCGTGTGAGCATTTCTATTTATCCAGCGAGCAGTTATCGCGATTCTACTGTATTTCCTTCTCTAAATACTAATGTCAGTAACGTTCCCTACTGGTTAATACAGGGTATCATGAGAAAAAGAAGACTTTGACTTCTCTGTAATATCCTGTACTTATCATAGCTCTAACTACTTTCAAAATTGTTATAAACTAACTGCAGAAAATCTGTTTCCTTATAATACACATATAAGGGAAGGTTTCCCGAATTTGGACTGTCACTTAAGTTGAACCACTATTACAGTAGCTTATACATAGTATGATAAACAATATATGTATAATAGTGATGAATTAACCCTCGATTTTTCAGGATCCGGCGAGGAGTTCAGGTTCCCGTAAGCCTGATTTTCCGATCGACCGAGTCGCACGCCTTCCGGGAATGAGAAATTTCCACGCGGAAAGCTTCCGAGAGAGCCAGGAACGAGGTGGAGGTGAAAGGGAGAAGGGGGTGAAAAAAAAATAAACGTTCGAGCGGACCCGGGGCGACGAAGTCGTCGAGAACTGGGACGCGTTCCTCTAACCCCGGGTACCTCGACAAATTCCGCTCAGGTTTTACGAATAGCTTGGCGAAGTCGCATCCGTTCGGGTCTCCACCGGCAAAGTCCTGGAACTAACTTCAACCTCGTGGTATCCCTCGCGCTGCAGGAAACTCTGCCTTATCCGGCCTCTGACTACAACGAAACCCCCGATTCGGGGGTCTTTTTGGGAACTTAATGGACCTTACGAAGGACTCCCTCCTAACCCAACGACGAGAGTGTACTATTAGTAGATCTACTAGAAGATACGGAAGCTATCAGCTCCCGCGAGTGGGCTACGCACTTGATTTTCTGGATAGATACTAGGCGTCACACAAATCTCATCCGTCTCGAGAGGAAGGGACAGCTATCGCCTTCGCGAGAGTTACGGGGAGCAAAGGGAAATACGGCGACACGTACGGAGGTAGCCACAACCAGCTGGGCCACGGAATCTCAGTGGCGGGTGATCCAACTTGATAGAACTTCTCTAACAAGTCGGTCTTAACTCGAGATGCAACCGCGAGCCGGTCCTGTGTACCACGTGCAACTGCGCAGCTTGTCGCGTCTTGGCCCAGCCAGCAAGCAGCCGGGAACGTGTAACCAGAAAGTGGATAACCCAATTTTCGGCGGGTTCCTTGTGCCGGCTGCGTCGACAGTGTTGTTACGCTTCCATTGGCTGCTGGGTACTTAGACCGCTGACCTTTAACCGTGTTTTGACGCCGGTTTTCGACGACGAGTCTCGACGAACATGAACCGCGAGTTGCGGAGGAATGAACTGTGTGACAATGGTATTATTCTTTGGAGAAATGATTTCAGAAGGTTACTTACAACAATAAACTTCGTATATTTGTTAAACAGTCAAAAATATGGGATACGTATTTTTTTCTATCGGCTGAGACGCGACTTGAAGGGATGAAACCACCCCTCGAAGTTTCGATCCGAAATATGTTTGTTATAAACAAATTATATTTTGGATAATTTGTTAGCGCCATATTATTCTACATAAAAAACTTGCAAACCTCATCCATTAGAAGTTTTCATGTATCTCCTCTGATTTTCGAGATAGTACTTTCGAGTCGAAACTTCGAGGGGTGGTTTCACCCCTTAAAGTCGCGTCTCAGCCGATAAAAAAAAATACGTATTATTTTTAACTGCTTAACAAATGTACGAAGTTTCACCAAAGTTCATCAAGTGCCTTCCCTTGTCAGAGACAGTTGGATCTTCATCAAGAGAATTTTACAAAGTGGCGGTCCTCGAGCCACTAGATAAAGGAAACCTTAACCACATTTTTTTTCTGTGGAAAAATAATTTTGAAAGATCACTTATCCGATCCAAGGATGGTATATAGACTCGTTGGCGTAATCGTTCGATTGAATTCAGGCTAGCACCGTTATCACAGGTTGTCCTTCGTCGAAGGGATTAGAGGGCGTCGTCGAGGGAGGAAATGAAAATTCACTCGGCCAGATTCCACAGGAAACGAACGATTATTGGACAAGTAACCGAACGATGCGTCGAAGGTGGATGGGGGATGGGGTACCGATGGATTTCCTGGGGGTGAGGGGGCGCACGAGATATAATTGGTTTACTAATGAATTTATCGGAAGCGGCAATTAGTTTCTATCGAATACGAGGATCGATAAAGGGGTGAGGGGAGAAATGAACTCGGACGCGTGTGGAGTACGGTGGATCTCGGGAACTGAGAGTTGCCTGTAGAATAAATTCGGTTTCAAGCGTCATTTACAGTAGTAGTTTGTCTGTTACTTTTCGCGTAATTGGTTGGATTTTGAAAATAACTCTGCTGATACATCGTTCGTTTATGTTTCGCTCAAGGGAGGACTGTAAGTCATATATTCTAGACTCCTCTCGATTATTCTCTAGCTTGTTCTATACGATTATTGTCCACGCGTTATCCCCACTTCGGGCAAAAAACGAATTTTCTTGTGACAAGAATGACGCAGAAAATATATTGTTCTCGTGTTAACTTTACCATTTATCATATATCACATAGTCGTATATGCTATAATTTCATATAATCCGCAGTCTAGTCATTACTATTTTCTTTCTACAATTCAATTATTCTGGATTGACGACGCGACAATAAAAAACAAAGGTCGATATTTGTACGAACTTGAAAATGTCAACTAGTCCCATGATACCTCAAGGAAGTCCATAACAAAGGAATCAAGTAAATAATACCGTATTTTATCATTCAGCTTGAATTCTACCGCCTCTGAACCGAATGAACGTCCACAATTCATACGACCATACCCGAGCGTTCGTTCTAATTATCCACATTTTTACACTGAAAATAATTACTACCCTCGTTGTTCGGGCTTCCCTTTCGTACAATCGTGGGAAATTTACCTACGACTCGTCGGGGGAACCGCTTTTCAACGGTTTCGATGGAAAAAAAAAAGAAGATAAAGTTTCATCGGTCGTATAACACAAGCGATCAAAGCGAACCGCGGCTACGGGAACAAAAGCTCGGCAGTTTCGAACGCTGAACCGAGCGAAGACTATGCTAACCGTATTAAATAAACCACGCCGCGCAGTTCGTATCTCACCGTGATGAAAACCGTCGGAAATAGCGGCCGTGGCGCATTTTGCAACCTGTTGAAGTGTACCACTATCCATTATGCCGTTTGCTACAATGGATCGCGCTGCTACGCGTATTTTTCCGCGACTTTTTCATTTCCGCGGAAGCTATCGCGTGCGTCGAGCTATCGTTTCCACCGTTCGACCGTTCAGTTTCCGTTCGTGCCGCGTCGTTGGATTAGCGAGATGTGTGTTCGCCACGTTTTTCAACGCGACCGTTTCAACGCGTCAACAGGGAGACAGGGGGCTCTTTCTTTCCTGCCCCATCCTGGGACCCTCATTTAATGGAACACGCTCGCTTTTGTAGGAAACTCTTCAGACATCTCGTTACAACTTCCGCGGTAGGGAGAAGGAACGAATGGGCATTATTGGACATGGACGTATTCATGAGAACGAACGGAGTACTAAAAATTTCTCGGAGAATTTTAAATCGGGAGCGGTCAACATGGAGACTAATAATTCATTGTTATTATCGTCATCGTCGAAAAATATTTGAGTGAAAAAGTTATAAATAATATCGTTAGACATGTATAAACGAATCGCCTGTAGAAAGAGCAGTGACAGATTATAAATATCAGGAATATTGTCGTTACTATAAACTACCAAATATAGTAAATCAGCGATGAGTGTTCGAACGTCATCCCCACCACTGAACCCTTGACTGGTTCCACGGGCACCACCTCCCTTTCCCCAGTGGTGGGAATGACGTCTGAACACGCACTGACAATGATCGATGATTTACTGTATTACTTTATGTAATACTTGTACAACTTTTCAATAATTACGATAAACTATTAGTGGTTTAAATTGTCCATTTAGTGCAACTCGGCTGAACCCCCAAAGGTTTACAGTTGCATACACTACCGCAGCCATCATCGAGTGTCTTTTCAAGTGAACTTGAGACGATTCTATGGCCGTTGTGATCGTGAATAACCGAAGGACCCAAGACTCTCAAGGTTTCAATGGGAACTTACCACGGATTTAATACGATCCTCTCGCGAGGAGGGTCTGTCGGTGACTTGCTTAACAGTTAATTAGCGAAAATGCGACGCGAAGGATTCCCCCAGTGGCCCTGGCATCCGCTTTCGCCAGCCTCGGTCTTAAAACCGAGCTTCGTCCCCTTGTCGTGGATGGGAAAGCTGAATATCGATCGCGTCTGATCGCATCTTTCCGCGAAAGTGGAACGGTGAAGTGAACCGAAAGCTGCTTTCTGCTCGAGTTTGCTTCTTTAATATATTTAAAGAACTCTTATCGTGTACCTCACGAATGTAGACAACCGTGACATTTTTCTTCCGGATCTACAACCCCGAGAACCGATTTGACTCACCATACATCCATTTCCTTTTCTTTTTCCCCCGAAGAAGTGCTCAAAAAATTTTCTCATCATCTTGTAGTAGCACCGATAGTAAATTCCGCTTCATTTTATAAATATATTCCACTTTCCTAACACACAACCTTCGTGTCTGGTGGCAACAGTGTAATTAAATTAATGCGTTAACGCAACGCCGAGGTGCCTAAGATCTGAAATGCATCGGTTACCCACGTTTCCTCTCGGTTTATATCCGATGGAACGAAGTACAATGGAAGCTCATTTTCCCGAAGAGCTACGGCTCGCGACCGCGGGATAATCCAATTAAAAGTAACAATTAATAAAGGCTTGGGAAGAAAGGCGTTCCGTGTTCCATGCTCGCGCCTTGGAATAACCAGCCTGAAGCATCTTCCATTTGGTTCTCGCTGGAAAGCACACTCTCGACCCAGAAAAGCTCATCTTTCGTTGTGCCGCGAATTCGCGTCGAGCACTCGACGGATCAGCGTGGGTACTCGCGCGGAGGAACTCGCAATCTCGCGTCCTCGAATCTTAACGAAGGTCCCAGTCGACCACAAGGTCCAAAATCTCACGCGATATCGAGTCGAATTTTCATTTTATTAGCCGCAGGGATAGACGGTGTGCAATTATTTTTTAAGTGATTTGGTCAACTAGAAGTGACAGTCTTGTGAGTCACTGTATATGTAAATGTAACATACGACCTTGAAAATGTACATACAATTTTACGCACAATTCCTTCTTGAATTCCACGTACAATGGAAATTACACTATAATGGAATTTCATCGTGTCAAGACCATTCCGATGATTAAAAGCTGAAAGAGAAGATTGTTCGTTCTCTTCCGGAGATTTTTCCTCTCACAATTTTCTACCTGTTCTTTCGTTCTCTGTCACGATTGTTACAGTTCTTGGTGCCAGGATTTTTGATTTATTCCCTGAGCGGACCGGGTAACGAAGCGTCGTAATCCTTCCGCGAACGCTGTTTGACTTTCAGCTTGAAAAGCCGCACTAACGAAGTCCCCAGGACTCCTCCAAGCCTGTTCGGTCCGGAGCTTTAAGGAGCACGCTCGTTGAAACTCGGCAAACGAACCTCGAGCGACGCTCTGACGGTTCCGATAATTTCGCGACACCCGATGTGCATCGTGGAACAAACGATTCATTATAAATCGGTGGACACAGGGACTCAATAACGAAAGGAAGATCGTTCGAAGAAATTACGATGGAAGTGAAGGATGATGAGTCTTTATAGAAACGATCCTGCAGAGATCTTTGATCTGTCACGGAAACTCCATTTTCCTTGACACCTGCGCTGATTCAACGAGACGTTTAACGACATTTACTTGGTGATTAATTCTCGCCTTGTTATTCAGATTCATATGCACAGGGTAACAAGTTGATTTTCATAGAAGAAAAGGTACTCTTGACCTTATTGCTCTGAAAGAATCATTGACGATATAATTGACTCTGGAAATATTATTTCTATATTTATACTCTAGATATATTAAAAAATATTCCTTTGATGTTCTTCGAACTTTTATGGATCTCCTACTGACAGTCAAAGATATAACAGAATAAACAGGATCGTGAACAGGAAGATCATTTTACAGTGTATAATTATCGTTGAAAAAGCGATCGATGAACGCGAATCGGTCATCACCGAGGGAAAAGCTGACTCGGAATCCTCGATGGCCGGAACAGCTGATCCGCGGTTAACGTCACCGCGAGCGTTTCGCGTTTTCCGCAAACGGAACGACGACCACCGTCCACGAGTGTTTGACTCCGGTTCCCTAATTCGGCCGGTTTACAACGTAACAAGCCGGGGGATGGGGGTGGCCGTGGGGGTATTTAGGGTTAAAAGTGGCCGGGCAGAGGCGAACAATCCGCCCCCTTCTGGCAGCGTCACGGTCATTACGTTTCAGCTTCGAAATCCTGCGGAACGTGGACCGTAGGAAGCGTCCGCCGCGGCTAATGCGTGCCATTTAAACGTTTCACGGGACATTGTGCCGGAACACGGTACTTGCCGCGGACACGCCGGTTCGTTAGGGGGCCGTTTGTTTGCACGGTTTCGAAACACTCGTTTCAACGGACCTGGCCGCAACCGGACCGTTCCTTGTCGAATATTCGGGATCGTTCCGGATACAGATCGCAATGGGGAGAATCTGGACGATCTTCTGGAGTATTTGGAGACAGAATGGCCGATTCAATGAGTGGAATCGATGGAATATAGCGTGGAGAACGGGAGAGGGTAACCAGTGTCGAGATTCATTTGGGTCTGACATGAATTTTAATAATAATGGTAATACTGTAGGTGATTCACTTATTAATTTAATTATGTACACAGGGACTCGATTTGGCTTCGTGACTTTTACTTTAAAGAATTTGCAAATTTAACTATCGATAACTTCATTATAGTAATTTTTACCACTAGGTCAATTATACACCGAGGGACAAATTAAGTTCAGGGACGAATGATGATTAAAACAGAGTTTCGCTTTCGAGATTAATTTCAGTTCAATCTTCATCCATCCCTCGAGTCAATTTGACACAGTTTTCTCCTAAGAAATGACGTTATTCTTTCATGTGTAGATAAATTTGGCTTCGTGACTTTTACTTTAAAGAATTTGCAAATTTAACTATCGATAACTTCATTATATTAATTTTTACCACTAGGTCAATTATACACCGAGGAACAAATTAAGTTGAGGGACGAATGATGATTAAAACAGAGTTTCGCTTTCGAGATTAATTTCAGTTCAACCTTCATCCATCCCTCGTGTCAATTTGACACAGTTTTCTCCTAAGAAATGACGTTATTCTTTCATGTGTAGATAAATTTGGCTTCGTGACTTTTACTATAAAGAATTTGCAAATTTAACTATCAATAATTTCATTGTATTAATTTCTACCACTAGGTCAATTCGGGACAAATTAAATTGGGAAAAAAAGGGATGGGTGAGGGTTAAAACAGAGTTTCGCTATCGAGATTAAGGTCGCAGTTGTACTATCGTTGACCGGATAAAAGTTCTCCGACGACTTCTAACTGCAAATAAAGATCGACAGGCCCGAAAATCGTGGGACAAACACGACAACGGGAAGTAATCGAGTTCCGCTAAAACGTTTCCAGCGTTCGACATATTTTCCGCGTTCGACCACCGAGGACGCAGCCCTGGGTGACGAAGTTACCGGAGAATATCGGCCGGCACGCAACACACCGAATGCAATCAGTTGATGGACGGCGCCGAGAGGGGCACCAGGGGGGAGGGGAGGCTTGGTCGAATATGCACAATGGATTAAAATGATATTGCCGTGGCGGTGGCCCGTTCGATTAAGTTTTATAAATGACGACTCGGTAATGAATATTCAACAGGACTCGTCGCGCTAGTCGACTTTCCGCGTTGCTAATCGGTTGGAAGGTTAATGAAATCAACGGTGACCCCTTTACGATTCCTGGCAACGTCACGATAATTTATCGATGTGCTCACTAGAGTTATACCGTTCCGTTTTAACACGGAAACATTCTTTGTTTCCGATACAAAGATCCTGCTTGTTGGGCTTTTATCAATTAAGATGCTCTTTGTCAAGCTGAGATCTACTTACTAGAAATACTTCTGAAGTGCACCTTGTTGCTGAGTTTTCTTGTAAATTGTAATGGTCTCGATGTTCAATTGGAGATATATCGGTTTGGATTATTTTCTTTAGTAAGTATCGCGATTA